GGAAAAAGAATGTCTGTAGGCTCATTGTAAAGGCAAATTCCTCCCAAACAAGGTTGTTTCCAGTTGTTTTTTTTATGGAACTCCTCTCTTTATCAAGGATAATCCTGCTTCTGTATGAGTTTCCCTTGGCCCCAGTTGAGTGAAGCCTCAGGTGGGAAGCAAAAGTGAAAGGCTATGAACCAAACTGAGGTCAATCTCTGTTCTCCATACTTAAAATGGCTGTTTGTTTTCTAGATATTTTCTTCAAGCCATAGAGACTTCTATTTTTCAGAGGTGATTTGGTGGCTCGTGGAAATTACTCAGCCTAATGGTAACCCAAGTCTCTTTTTCTCTTTCTTTTTTATATATTATGGCAATGTATTGCAACCCAAATACTTTTCTTACTTTCTAGTTAAGACAATATTTATATTAATGGGTAGATATGAAAAGCATATCCTGAATTTTGTGGGTTAAAATAACACCATTAGCGTGGCTCAAAGTTCTGATTGATTGAGAATGCATACTATTTTCATCTGGACAGTTTTGCCTGTATCTGCAGCCATTTGTGGGTTTTAAATGGGCTGTGGGGTGACTTAGAGCTCTGGTTACAAGCTATGAACTAGGGTAACTCCACAACTGGACCAAGGGTCCCTATCACTCCATATGTCAACCCAGACTCATTAATATCATCTTTGGGAGTTTGAAGAGCAGCAACCAGCAAGTCCCAGTGGGGGGCAGGGGGTGGAATGAAATCATTTAAATCTTGTTTGGGACAGATCCACAGACCAAAGCAAGTATCATGGCCAAGCCCAGAATTGGTGCAGGTAAATCTATCCAAAGGAAATATGGTGGAGGTAGAGATGTAGATAAACAAACCAAAGCTATTACTATAATCATTCCAATGCTCTTGTCAATAACCTAATATTAAAAAACAAGAAGAAGAAGTCTCAACAACCATGGAAACACTCTACTTTAGAGACTTCTCTGCAACATGAGATTATCAGTTGCTAATACATGCACACTAGTCCTAGATGATTTTGACAGTGCTTTATGATGAATAATGTAAATATCCACTTAACTCTTAATAGTCTATAGGGGGGCTGTCACTTGTGGCATTCAAGGCAAAAATAATTAAGAAATTTTTAGAAGTGATGGTCAGGTTGAGTTGTTCTATAGAGATGATGGCTATGGGTCATAAAAGAGAGTGTAAATTGCAGTTCCAATGCATATTTATTTATTGAATAAAGTGACATCTCAAATGAGAAAACATTATGATGTACATTTGTTTGCTCAACACCTATTTACCATCATCATTATTATGAGTCAATACAAGGTTTCTTGAGCCTCTGACACAGGCCTGGAATTAGTTTAAACACCAAAGAGGAGGCCACCTGTATTAGTGACTTCTCTGTTTCTGTTATACAGCACCATGACAACAGCGCCCTAGAGAAGGAAGGGTTACTTTAACCTTGTGGTTCCAGGGGGATGAATGTCTATCATAGTTGGGAGTCATGGCAACAGGAGCAGGCATGGCAGCAGGAGGATGCTGTGAGCTCACATCCTTGACTGACCACACAAAGCAGAGAGAGCAAATGATAAGTGAAGGAAGGATTTTAATAACAAGGCTAACACACTTTGCCATCAAGGCTATACCACCTAAACTTCTTTAAAGGGCACCACCCACTGGAGACCAAGAGACTATTGGGGACATTTCATTCACACCACCACAGTATTGAACCTATAACCCCATTCTCTTGGAGTTTATATTTTAATGAGAGGAGATGTAAGGTAAAGAAGTAGACTGAAATGTAAAATGAATTTAGGTGATGGTAACTGCCATGAACACAACAAAACTGGATGCTGTAATAGAGAAAGAATAGAGGCATTCCTCAAAATAATGCATTGCTGAGGAGCTGAGGAAAAACAGAATAATGAGAAGATGCTGTGACCAGAGTAGAGATTTCTTGGCAGACACAGTACCAAGTACAAAACCTGTGTCCCAGGAGCAAAACTACCTCTGGATAACAAGTACAACAGCAGCAGACAGGTGGTACATACAGAAAAAGACGAGCAAGGTCTTTTTTTTTTTTTTTTTTTTTTTTTAGGTTTTTTGTTTTTGGTTGGTTGGTTGGTTGGTTGTTGGTTTCTCTGTATAACCATCCTGGCTGTCCTGGAACTACTCTGTAGTCCAGGCAGGCCTGGAACTCACAGAGATCCACCTGTCTCTGCTTCCCCAGTGCTAGGATTAAATGCATGCACTACCACTGCAGGGCAGAGAGATGTCTTTTATGAATTGATAAGGAGCTCAGATTTATATTTCATCTCACATGTCTAGAGAGATCACTAGAAAGACTCCTAGCAAAGGAAGTCCCCATGATGTGAATCGAACACTTCTGGTTGAGGTGGAGAATGAGGTATAGTAGGACAGAGCAAAGGCAGAGAAACCGATCAGAAGATCATTGTAGTATCCAACCCAGGGCCGTGCTGGCCTGATGTAGGGGGAGGATGGTGGAGATATGATATCAGGACTTGACAATTTGCTGGGCATGGGAGGAGGAAAAGAAAGGAATCCAGGGCTGACCAATATTGGGTTCACCTAGCCCTTTACTAGGCCAAGGGGATAAAATAGAGATACAGGCAGGATCCTCACTTTCATATGGAATCAATACTTTATATTATTTAATAAATATGGGTTATTTAATAGTTGAGAAGCTTAGAAAAATGAGGTTAAGATTTAAAATTCATGGCTTTTAATATAAGAAATCCAGATGCATAGAATTTAATGAATAAATAGTATATGGGAAAGACCTAAAAAAAAATAGATACTTATATGGACATAAAAACTTTTATTAAACTCAGTTACAAAATAAAAGAAAATGAATAGATTCAACTATTTAAATTTTGAAACTTTGATATATCAAAAGTACCATCAACAAGACTAAGATGTAAACAAACAGCCTGGGAAATAAATCTACAGCATATACAATGAACTGTTGATATGCTTCATATGCAAAGACACATTTTAAATCACTAAGAGGGAGGAGATAAGCAATGAGTATATATTTTAAAGTGCAAATACAGGGTAAATGTAAAGAAAGACTTCAATTTTACCAGTAGCTGTACATATTTATAAAAGATATCAGCTGAGGATAGTGGTATATACCTAGAATCCCAGCATTCAAGGAATGAAGCAAAGAGCTGAAAGTTCGAGGCCAGCACAAGACACCAAGTAAAACCCTGTCTCAAAATAAATAAATAAGTAGATAAATAAAACATGAATTTTAAACTTTCAAACTGATAAATGATTGAAAGAAGTGCAATAATGCATGGCAGCATATTGCCCTATGGTTATAAAAATGATAAATCATTCTCTGGATTTTTTTTCTTGGATCTAGAGAGATGGCACTTGGTTGCTCTTGCAGAGGACCCAGGTTCTGTTCCCAGCACCCACATGGTGACTAAGTACTGGCTATGACTCCAGTTTCAGGAGATCCAACACATTCTTCTAGCTTCAGCAGGTCCTGAGAGCAGATGTGGTACATACATGCAGACAAAACACCCATACACATAAAATAAAAGTAAAATAAATTTTAAAGTAATTTAAAGTATACATACACTTCTTTTCATCTTGCAATTTCACTCTGAAGGCTATAATCTCAGTTAGGTGCAATTACACATAAACATTCACTGTATTGTTGTTAGATAGTAAAACTCTCTCACAATAAGGAATTGCTTAAATAAATAATGGTTTGTGCATATGGTATATTACAGCGCTGCTAGTTAAAACTCATTGTCAGAAAAAAATGATAGACCAACTTGACATATGGTAAGTTGTTCACAGTATCTTTTGTGGGATAAGGGCTGGTCATAAAACAAACGATGCAGCTTTATTTGGATATGTTCATAGAGCAAACATGTCAGTCAAGACATTCAGCCCATTGCTTACAATAATTTTATTGCAGAGATAAATTTACAAATAGTTTTCCTTCTCATTTTTGTGTTTTCCAAAATTTCCACATTGTACGTGTGATTCTACGATTTTACAGCACAAAGAAAAACTATGCATCTACACAAGGATAAAGTACTCAAAGGACAAAGGGGTCCAGTTAGAAGGCTGCATACAAAGGCAGAAACACAATGATGCCCAGACACTGAAAATAAACCGGTGATTGGGCGGAGCTAGGATCTGAGGAGACATTCTAGAAGCAGGGCTGTAAACACTGCAGGTCCTGTTCCTTATCATCCAAAGGTCAGTCTACACTAGCAACCACACACCAGGGGATTGTGGGCTAATGTGGGCAAACTAGCACAAGTAATATAGGGCCCGGGCTTATACAGGACTCAAACATTTGGACTGGGTACAGTGCCCCTTTTGACCAAGGCCTGGTAAATCTCAAAGACCTTGGTCTTTTCGCTTGCCAAAGGCTACCTCCACTGTCTGACCCTTTCTTCTTGAGAAGAATCCGGTGATAGACACCATGTAGACACATCAAACAAGCCTTGTGACTCTGACATCACGAGTCATTCAGTTCGTTCCGCACTCCAGGAGAGGACACCACATCATGTCAACTCTGTCTCTCATCTTTTCTTGAAAAATTATTAAATCCCTTTTGGTAAGTTCAATAACTTAACACCTGAAAAACAATCGATCATCTTTCAAAATTACCAATAATATCCTTACACACTAACAGAAAAGTACAAACAATAGTGTTTGTGTGTGTGCAAGCACTTGAATAAAAACACTATTTCATCTGCTAGTCTTTTGGGTTCGCTTTGAAACTGAAGGCACTGAAGAGAAAGTAAACTTGCCACACCCAATTCAGTACATGAAATGCTGGCTACCAGGTGCTTCTGTGGGGCTTAATAATAAAATAATAATACAAATACGCCCACCCAAGACCCACTAAGTCAGGTGGTCAGGCCAGGCGGATACCCTAGTATTGCAAGCTGCCTGGGAGGTTCCTGCGCACCCAAAGGGTGTGAGGGGGAAAAATGCCTTACTGTAAAGGTGCTGACAAGGAATGGGAGAAACCACGACCAAAGAAAAGAAAATGAAGAAATCTCAAACTGAAAGACCAATGAACTTTTCAAAAACAAAGCGCAGAGTCTTGGCTGCTGTTGCTTATCTACAGTACAGATGGCTGGCGAAAATTATGCAACCTGGCTTTGCTGATAGATCCCCACAGTCAGTCCGCTTCTGCGGAATGGTGACGGAGAGCAGAGTTCCTGCTGGTGGCTGGGAAGAGAGGGAACACTCCCAACAGGCACTGAGTAGCTGGGCGTGACTCAGGTTGCTCACACCCCACCCCACCCCACCCCTGCGATGGGCAACCTAGTAATGATTAACCGTTGCTGGGGCTCACCAACCGTGTTGGGAGCAGCACTGTGGGGCCAGTCATGAGCCCTCCGCCTCCCGGGCTTCAACCGGTAGCAGGTGAGTGAGCAGGTGAGTGACAAGGACGCCGGGACACCCGCAGGCAGCTCCGCCTCCCCACTGCAGCCAGGGACGCTCGCTTGCCACCTCTAGCTTGGCTGCTAGATCACAAGAGTCTCTCCTCTGCCCGGCCGGCCGTGACAATAACAGGTGAACTTGGAGGTGCAGGGGAAGGAGCCCCATTCAATCCTACCCCTCCTCCCGGGTTGTGGGAGGAAGGTGAGAGCCGGCCCTCAGAAAGTGGAATCCATAGTCAGGAAGGGTAAATGGGTCCGTGCATCAGCTCAGCCCCAACTCTGGTGTGAGTTGGACTTAAATCAAAATTTTCTCAGAATACTCTTTTCCTGGACAAGGTAAGCTTGTGAGGGGGATGGGGAAGAGTAAAAGGAAAGGTTTGGAGCAGCGAGTCCACCTTTCCCAAAGAACCAGCTCATTGACTTAACCTGAGGTGTAGGAATCCCCTAACCTAGCAAGTTACTAGACTCCTGCGTGACACCTCTGTCTCTGCAGTTAAAGTGTGTGTTAAATGACCACATCGTAAGGGGAAGATACTTTGATTTGAGGGTTCGGTTAAATATCCCTTTCCTCGGGGCAAATCACAATGAAAACGGTTTGGGATAGAATGAAGACCTCACCAAACAATGATTAGAATAACTGTAATTACACAGACGTCCGTGGGTTAGCAATCAAGATTCTGAAGCTGGGGAGTCATAGGATCGAGTCTTGTGTGTATTACTTGCTCTAGCGTGTCACTTTAAAAAAGTTATTTCCCATGCCTAAGCCTCAAAAGTCTGCCATGTATAAAGCAAGCATGATATTGTCTGTTACAAGGGGCTTTCGTGGGGATTAAAGAGGTAGCATTAAATTTTATCACCACCCACAAATCCACAGCTTTGTAAAATGGGTGATTGATCTAGGGAGGGCAAGCTGACCTGAGCTAGGCAGACAGCACCAGACCCTGGGGACACTAGTAGAGAACAATGCATCTAAGACCAAGCTGGTAAAAGTGGGCAAGCATCGACACTAAGAACAGAAGTGAAACTGTCTGGCTTCTCAACACACTCAAGTATTTATAGTACCTGGAGGCCACTTTAATATGTTATTCATTTTTATTTCGTGAAACCTGTGTTTATTTCGAGGGAAATAAAACATCTGTAGTGGAAAAATTAATATCTGTCTCGGGCTGTAGAGCCCTGGCCCTTAAGTTTCACAAGAAAGATGGCTTTTGAATGATTTTCGAGTTAGACCATCTGGGCCATGCCCTTCTATTGTATCACATGGTTTACAATCACATGATAGTGACTTTCATTTATGTTCTAACAGTCTGGTGCCCCTGCTTTGTCAGTCTCTGACCCTTCAACTTAAATAACAAGGAAATGGCCTTATTTTAAAAAGTGTCCTGTAAAGGATACTTTGGTGGCTCTTGCTCTTAGTTTTATGAATGTTGCTAAATGGTTTGTACTGAATCTTGACAAAAAATCATTCTTGTCTTAAGTATTCTTTCTTCATTGTAGATTCTCAATCTCCAATGAACTTTTAACTAGATATTGACTGAAGAATTATGGATAGAATCCTAAAGTCAAACTAATTGAAGTTCATTGTTGTCGTCTAGTATCTAACAGTGACTAGAACGGCTCAGCCAATAAAATAATCAAATTTACTTAGAGTATTAACTAAACATTTTCATCTATTATCTTGAATATAAATTATTTCTATTTCATAATACTTATATTAATATAAAGAACAGTGTCCCAATTAAGATAAATCTATTTGGGGATTTAACTCAGTGGTAGAGCGCTTGCCTAGCAAGCGCAAGGCCCTGGGTTCGGTCCTCAGCTCCGGGGGGGAAAAAAAAAGACAAAATAACAAAAAGATAAATCTATTTAACTATATTTAATTTTAATATTGAGATTAATCTCTTTAACCATGTAAAAACCTGTAAGTTAAGTTGTCTTGGTATACACATAAGTTTATCTGCTATTCCTAAGGTATATAACACTTTATTACAAATTATAGAGTATTTTAATCAATTAGAGAGAAAAATATCCAGGGTGTTTAAGAAAAATGAACTTTGCTAATTATATTCAAAATAACATAATATATAATGCAAATAACATGTTGTTTTAACTCAACTTTTACTTTAGTTTCCTAAAATGAGAACCATAGCTGAACTAGATGTCTAATGCTAATAGTCCATTTCCTTGTATCAGTTCCCTTGATTACAGTGTAGATGGAGGATTCAGGAACTAGCTGGGCCATCTAGTGGTTTTACCCTCAGCTTTTTGTGAGTTCTCCATGCTGAATTAAATGGTGGCTGTGTCAGTTTGCACTGCATTTAACAGTGAATGTGTGCCCCCCCCCCTTTCCCACACACTTCCTAGCATCAGTTGTCAGTTGTTTACCTGATCTCAACGAATAAGATGAAATCTCAAAAAACTTTAAATTTTCATCTCTCTAATGGGTGTTGACTACTTTTAAAGATGTAGTTTAACCATTTTCATTTCTTTCTTTGATTGCTCTCTGTGGAGGACTCACACAGTTGCTTTTCCTCAACATCACACAAATACCTAGAACCTATATGGAAAAAGAGAATACCAATTGAGGAATTATCTCTATCAGACTGACCTGTAGGTGATTCTGTGGGGGACATTTTCTTCATTATTGACTGATGCAGGGAGGCCCAGCCCACTGTGGGTGGTATATAAAAAAGCAGGTTGAGCCAGCCATAGGGAGCAAGCAAGTGAGCACCATTTCTCCATGGTCTCTGCTTCAGTTCCTGTTTACAGGGTCCTGCCTTGAGTTCCTGCCCTGACTTACCTTCATGATGGATCAGAAGCTGAATTAAAAACCCTTTCCTCTTCCAGTTTGCTTTTGGCCATTGTGTTTGTCACAGTAATAAGAAAAGCAAACTGGGACAAATTGGTAGCTTATTTTTTAGTTGGGTCATTGAAAACAAATGTTTTCCTGACTCTCTGGACTTTTTAAATAATTCTCTATGTTCTGGATATTAATACTCTATCAAATGGATGGTTTGCAAATATAAGTGACACTGGATTCCACAGGTTGTGTTTTTATGTGGAGATTGTGTGCCCATGTATAACAATAATTTAAGAACAGATCATGAATTTGAGAGGGGGTAGCATGAGAAGAATCAGAGGGGAATAGAGTGTGTAGAAATTATATATATGCAATACTCATGTATGAAAATGTCAAAAAACATAACGGAAAAAATAGGTTTTAGCAAAATAAAAATGAAATATTCAAGTATTGAAAGCATAGCTTCTGAAAAGGTACTTACGAATACAATCCCTTGTATTAAAATGTATGGCAGAGAACTAGTCCTTTACAAATGTTTCTCTGTGTCATTCAAAACTGTCATTTAGAGTTGCTTTCATATCAATGGGTACCACTGATTCTAGGAGTTGAGAAAATTCAGGACTATGTTGAGGGAAATGTTCCTTATTACTCAGGGTCCAGTCAATGGAGGTTCAAAAGAGAAAGTGTTAATTATTTTGCAGCCAGTAAGTGAATAGGAAAAGTGAGTCATGATCTTTGGGACAACTTTTAGAATTTCCTTTTGAAACCACAGATGAAGCAGAGAGTCCTTGAGCCCCAGCACAGCAGCAGTGGCCAACTGAGAGGAACAAGATGCCTGAAGTCCCCAATAGAGTACATGGCACCCCAATAGAGTACAATTTGCCTTCCCTTCTAATCCCACTTTCTTCACCTCCCCAAGGTACTCCAAGAAGAATAGAGTGTGTTGCATAAGTGCCGTGGAAATGTGCAATAGAGTTTAGAGATTTGGCATTTCCAATGACATTTCATATGAACTGAGAACAACAGCATGCTCATTTAGAAGTCTAGACTTTTGATCCTTACCCTGTTTAATATTGCCTTAAATTCAAGGGTTGAAATAAAAAAAATTAAAACCAGGTGTAGTTACACACACCTATTTTTGGCACTTAGGAGGTAGAGGAAGGAAGATAGGAGAAATTCAAGGCCACCCTTGGATTCCAAGGCAACTGTCAATCATCTCTACAAACAAGGTGCTGTTGAAAAGAAAAATATAGAGCCAAGCATTTCTTGGAACCCATATTTCAATGAACTCTTTTCCTTCTTTCAAACACTGGATAATGGGTGTAGTTACAAATGGCTTCTAACTACATCTCATTTCCCCTGAGTAGAAGTTGCATGCAGATCTGCCCTCCCAATCTCCAGGTTTTGAGAAAACACCATCATTTTACAGTGAATTACATATTTGTACGCCCTCATTGCTTCTCCATGCTAGAACAATTCCCTCTGAAAAATAATACCATATTTATAATCCTTAAAATAATCTTACCTCATAATTAAATCCCACACTTGCTCTTTCGATGTGATATTTCTGGGGTTACTTTTGTTTCTTAGTTACTTTTATTGTGGTCACATGTGTAATGTAAGATAAGTTTCCTACATATGTTTTTTAAATGTACATTTGAAATCCACTTATAGCACTTAATTTTAGTTATTAATACTTTAGTGTTTCCCTATAGGTTGTTGAGTGTATGTAATATTTAATAGATTTTTAAGTGTATGTTTCATATACGTACTCTAAATGATGAATAATGAAGTAGAATTGTGAAGAATCTAGTAGTCAATTTAAGGAAAAAATAATGAAAGAGAGCAGTTAAGTGATTAGCAAGCTGTGGATAATTTATTATAAAAGTTCAGAAGTCAGGGATGTGCTGAGGAGTTAGCAATGTTGTTTTGTTTGGTTTTCTAGCTTGCTTTCCTGAAGAACCTGACCCACCAGCTCCATATTCAGATCTAAGCTACATTTCTATGCCCTGCAGGGTAGTAGGTTCAGGGAAGACACTCAAGAAATGCTTCGTTGGCTACTCAAAGGAATGAACCAAAATTTCCACTTTTAAATAAGTAACCATTGAAGTCACCCATGGTTGGGTACTGAAAGGTATTTTAAATAACTAGGCTATTTGTGTTCCTTGGGACTTGAATTCCCTTCCTCCTCTCCCCACCTTCCTCATTCTGGTAACTGGCAGATCCAGGCATGCCCACATCTAAACAGGAATACAGAGCTGGGGGGAAGTGAACCCCAAAGGCCTCTTCTTTTTTTTCTGAGGTCCCAGAGCAGCCCACACACTGGTGCTGTCTGTCACCATCTATGAAGGCTCCAGACCCATCTGCCAGCTAAGAATGTGTTTCCCTGGGTGTCTTCCATCCAGACTTCCCTTAATTAAATCTGCCTGTTGTCTCCAGGGCCTTCTAAGACTTGATTGCCCTGTCAAATTTTCTTCCATCCTATGGGGCAAGATAGAAAAGTAAGTAACCAAACTTATTAAACCAGTGCTCTTATTTCACTTCCTGCCCCAGGGCCTGGTAGTGACTATGATTCACTGTCTAAGCAAAGTGCATGTTTGTAACAACCATCTTCCTTCTCCAGTCGTAGTGCATTGTGTTCCACCAAAGAACTGGATGCCCAAAGTATGACCTCAGAAAGTTCTGGACTTCCAGTCCTTCCTATTTTCCTCCATCCTCCTTATCTCTGCTACTTCTGACTAACTCTATTACTTCCTTCCTGAGCTTTTTTGATAACCATTCAGAACTTAAACCCACCAAGTCTTACTAATTTTGAAGATTTTCCTCAGAACTCTTTAGGGTTTGATTTGCTGAGTCATGGTGGACAGGACTAGGAAAAGGGAAAGGAGAAACTATTTGAATTTACAGAACCATGCTTTGCTTTGAGTAAACAAAACCTCTGATATTTTATCAAATCATTTCTTACTTTTTAATTCTCTGAACATTTTAGCCAGTTTTTGGATCATACGTGCTCAATGTTATTTTTATTCAATTATTGTACCCTACCTACCAAGTTTTTTAATTCTTGTCCATTAAATTCTATTCAACCGCCTTCCTTCCTAAGATTATATCTTCCAGAATCTTAAGAACCTACCTTCGATATACTCTAGCACAGATCGCAGCCTGGCAGTATACTTGAACAGTGATGTGTTTGCCCTCAAAAATAATGATAATTTAGATTTTTTTATACCTACAGAGAGATGGAACTGATAGGAAAGCTACTGTAATAATTCTTCAGCCCATCATTTCTCCTTCTCACTTTGCTATCACACAGACCTTCAGTGACATTCTTCCCTTCCAAAGCTCCTCAGCATTTGATGAGAAATTGCCATCTGACTTATAGATGGTGACTTCTGGGTCCTCACATTGTAAGATTGGACAAGACAGCTCTCTGGGTCCTGAATTCGGGTTGTATATTGGAAGTACAGTTCAAGAGTACTTGTGTATGGGTTCAAATCTCCTTCTGATGGAGGGAGAAGGAATAGGATTGAGACTTCATTTGGTGCCTGATTAGACATGTAAGAAATAATTATGGAGGAGGAAATACTGGAGCTGAGAGAAGTTGTTGCTTGTAAGGCTGTTAGACATCCTAATAGAAACTAGGCAGTAACAGGAGTCTGAAACTGAGCAGGAGCCGAACAGATGAGCAGATTCATTTGCCTGGAAATACACCTAGAGAAGTGAAGATGGAATAGATTCCCCAACCAGCTAGTATTTAAAGAGACATAAAGCAGTGAGCAGAACAGACAAAGACACTGAGAGCTGTGAGTGGCAAGAAAATAGGGCAAACTTGTCGTCGTTCTGCCACAAAAGCCTGAGAAGAAAGTGTATCACACAGGGAAAGAGAAAACTCGGTCTCCTCTAATGCTTCTTCCAGGCAGACAAAATGGATGATTTAAATGTGGGAGGAGAGGTACAGGACAGGGTAAATTAAATAGATGGCAAATAACCCATAAATTGATCCAGGAGGGAGAAGGTAGTGTTTGGGCCACATCATCATCACGGGAGGATCTTGGTGTGGGATACCTGCAATGCATTTTTGTGAGTTCTAAGAATGAGAAAATATAAACACAAAATTCAGGGTTTAGATGCTAGAGCAAGGTCTGTGTAAGCAGACATCCAGATGGATCATTCTTGGGAATGAGTGAATATAGTTTAGTTAGGCTCAGGGACAAACTATGTCTTTGGCTTAAGGTAGCCTAGTATGGAGAGGATTGTAGCTAGGATTTTGTCCCTTCTAGAATGAGTCATCTATGACATAGACCTTGGGCAATGATGCACTATCAAAGAGACAATGTCATGATTTGAACCAGGGCAGTAGAAAAGGAAATAAGACATAAATCAGTAATGATGATATTGGAAGCAGAAATATAATCCAAAGTGTTGCAGATAAAGCAGCATGGGGAGACTGGGCAGGGGACCATAAGAGTGGGACACATCTGGACCAATGGTGGAGATCCCTTTGTGATCAAGTTGAATAAATAAGTGGAGACTTGATGGTGTGAAATTTCATTACACAAGGCCAGTCACTGAAGACATGCTTCAGGGCTGAGTGTGTAAAGATGGGTTTGAGAACAAGTAAGGAAAATGTAAGGGCTAGGAGACGTTGTGTATACTAAGAATGAAATCCAGGAAGGTTGACACCAAGAAAGTAATGTGATGGCCACAATGGTAGAAACATTAAAAAAAAAAAAAAAAAGAAAAGAAAAAAGTAAAGAAAGAAAAGAAAAAAGACCACAGTAAAATATTGAGCTCAGAGTCTGAGTCTGATACAAGATGTCTGCTGAGATCAGCAAAGTGCTCACAGGAGACAGGTAGAGTTTTATGAAACTAGTAGAATAACTATTTAACCATTGCTTCTTCCTCCTCCTTGCCTTACCCAAACAACCTGCTATGAAAGTAAAAATAATCCCATATAGATCCTTTTTATTAAGGAATTGAGCTTTTCTTTCCAGCTCACCTTTTGGTTCCAATTATAGTGCCTGTGATTTTTTTTCAGCCTCAAAACAATGATAATTATGTGTGTGTTTATACAAAATAGACCAAGCAGGTAATATGCTTATTATTTGTGTTCAGACCATGGTGCTATTGATGTGAACTGGCAATAGAGGTAATCCTTGTTATCTGATCTCAGACTCCAGTGCCTGCAGGATACATGGAGGCTATTACATCATCCTTAGTCAGCTCTCAAGCAAGACGACTTCAGTGCCTGGAATCTCATCCTGATCCAGGGTCCAGCCGCTTTGGGTTAGGTGGCTGTGGTACAAAGATCCCTCACATAGACTTTAAGCCTTCTTATATACATTAGAGATGAAATAAAATACTCGATTTAAATAAGAAAGTAAGTTGGGGATATCCCCCAGCAACAACACATTCATACTTTTCTAATGTTTTAGGGTGTCCTCAGATCATCTTGGAAAGGGGGGAAGGATAACAATGATGGATCACCAGTACCCTTCTTGGATCTTTGTCAATGAGAGGACATTCATAACCAGGTAACCATACATCTATATGATCTATTAGTCTGTTCCAGTCCCTGGTAAAATATGCTATCCAGATATTTCTAAGCATGACCTATGACCAACAAGGTTAGTGCCATGAATCACTAGGTAAGATACTAGATAAGGAAATAAAGCATATTCGTAAAGGCTGCTAAGCCATATTCTGTCATAGAGTAGCCACTCATATTTCATTAACAGTTGTCTGATTTCATTATCCTTCGGTTTTAATGACTGAAACATTTATGAAGACTAAGCTAAGGAGATAAAGCTCATGGATGATGTTAATACACTCAGAATTTGCGCCGAGGCCAGTAACCATGTATTAACTCCTTGGCTTTCTGTTTCTGAGACCCGTGGGGCCCAGAATACATGGTGTTCAGAGGCCATTGTGAGACTTGGCCATTCCCATGAAATAAGGTGAGAAGATAGTGAATGCCACAGTGACAACGTTATTAGTCTGTCTGTTGTTTGAGCAGCACATTGATGAAGGGCGTAAACAGAGGCAGAGAAGTGATTGTTCACTTTGTTCACCGTGGAGATGATGGTGTCTCAAACCATGGCAGCTAGAGCCTTGGAACAAGGACTACAGTAGACCACCCAGCTAGGTGCCTGTTGAGATTAGCAAAGCACTCAGAGGAAACAGTGCACCAAGGATTTTATGCTACTATCTTGATAAATAGTTTACATATTATGTTGCATTTACAGAAGTAGAAAAGCTGAGATTTAAAATGTGTATATTGAAAGAATAAATGTATCCAGATCAAACATTCAGGAAAAATGCAGTTTAATTGTACCTTATTTATCACCTTAAACAGATCCCATTCTACGTAGCTGAGAACATACTGTTTCTTGTTTTACATACTCATTATTAGATTACAAATATTTCCCCATACCACTAAAGGAAATCTTCCTAAAATGTAGTATTCAATGACACAGAAAATCTACCCTATAGTTGTTCCCTAATTTCTGTCTTCAAGATGGCTGCAGTTTTGTTTTGTTACATAAGGGTGGTTGACAGAAATAGCTCTGAGGCAATGTGTACAAATAAGGTAAGGTTACTTCTTCAAATTAGCTCTCTAAAAACATCTGCTTTCGCTAGCAGCTGAAGGTCTCATGGCCTCTCTTCCTTATTTCCTCCAGCAGTGCTTGGTTAGCCTGGGTAAAATGTAAATCACTTGAGGGTAAGAACTATCCATCTTCTGCATGTGTTTCACAAAGTTGGACAGGTGGGTGAGTTTAATGTATGAAATGACCTGTAAGTGAAACATAAATGCTCATCTTATTTTAACAGTTATGGAAAGTATTATGGAAATATAAATATACACAATCCTTAGTTTCACAAACAAGAGAAAAAAGTAACAAAGGAAAGGTAAGTCAATTAGAAAATTGTTGACAATGGTAATACTTTAAATTACCCCAAATCATTAAAACAGCCATGCATAATTAGCTCTACAATACTGCCATAACCCTCAGTCAGACTGCATTGAACTTCTCTCTCTCTCTCTCTCTCTCTCTCTCTCTCTCTCTCTCTCTCTCTCTCTCTCCTTTTTGGCAGAGATGGGAAGGACTAGTTTATTTAGGTCACCTGTACATTCATCTTTCTTACACATCAGCCTTAACACCCAATATGGAAAAATTAATATTTTCATTTCTGAAAATATTTTAACAAGCATTTTCTAACACCCAGCTATAATATAGAAGAAAAAGGAAAAAGAAAAAGGAATGTATTTTTGAAAACCTGTGTATGTTTCCACGGTATTATTTCTCTGCAATTAAATATATCACAATGAAACCACACATTGATGGGATTGGTCCCAAAGAAGGCTCAGATTGCCGTGACCTTTATTTCTTTGTCTTTGACTCAGTCAGCTAAAGAACTTAGAGTTTGTTTTCCGTAGTCCAGGTGTCTTTTAGGCCATGGCTCTCTACATGCTCATTCGAGCCCTGTATGAGAGCGTCATCAGGAAGCATACTCCATAAACACTATGCAGCAAGACAGAACTCTTCAACACGTGTTGTGTGGAACTCTTGATTACGAATTGGAATCTCACCAACATTACAGCCCCTGGGCTCTGTCCCAGAGCCAGTCAGGTGACTCTCAGAATCTTACCCACAGTACAGATGTTAGGCTCTGTCCCAGAACGGGTCAGGTGACTCATCTGCCTACTGAACTCAGTGAACTTCTTGGAGGAGGAAGGGATGAAGTTCTGGCAACTTGTAACTTTCCATCCTAAAATTCCAGAAACCATAAGAAATCTCTGCAAAACTGTCATCAAACATGATAGCAATGTTACTGGCTAATTATGGTACCCAGGATGTACACATCTGGCAAGCAGTCTCCACTTGTTTACTTACTTCAGCAGTTTTTCAGCTCTCCCTGTCTGCATTAGGCGTCTTAGGAAACAAAACAGAAAATGTCAACTTATTAAGGTATTTTTATTTGCCTACAGAAATGCAAAGTGTTGGAAATTGCTATTAAAATAGATTTAAAAATACTAAAAAATAATATTTACCCAGTTGAAAATTTGGTTCCAGCATATATAATGAGAATTAATATATGAGTGATAGAACAAGAGGCCCTGAAGTCAGGGCCCCACCAGCAGCCAGCAAAAGCACTTGTATCTTAGGACTGGGGGGACAGTTTGTTTTCCAGACTTCCTGGCTCATGGTTAGCACCATTTCCTTTCAAGCTCCACAGCCTCTGGTTGCAGCTGCTTCTTCACTGCCTGGAGTCATAGCAGTGCTAGGTGCCCATGCAAATTTTCCAAATTAAATGTGGTTCCATTTGGTTGCTTTCAAAGCACCTTCATTTTACCTTGTAAATCAGACCACTTTAGAGGTGAGTGAACACAAGCCCTGTATTTAAACAAAAGGTTCAGTCCAGTTTCAAAAGCAGGTCAGATTTCAGAACCCAGTAGGCTTGGTGCTTTTTCAGAACCTGAAATCCACCCTCACAGGTCTGAAGGTGCATGTGCACTCCTGCCCTTAGTAAAGAAGTTTAATTAGCATGGCGTCATGAGTTTATGCAGAAAGAACATTGTCCTTCCAGCTTCTTTTTCCAGTGCCCTTTGCTGAGACAAAAGAACCAGCCACCTACATTGCTAAGCACAAATTACTCACAAAGGGACAGTGTTCCTGAGTCTTCCTCCAACCAGGCTCCTCATCTAAGGAGTGAACACCCACCAAGCCCTGTCTACTAGGAGACAAATTGCTCTCAGGAAGGACACTTCTGGGTTTAGCAGGACACTCAAGGCCTCTCTAAAGCGTTTTATAGAGTCAAGAGTTTAACATGAACCAGAGACAAAGGGTTTGAAACATGTGCTTGGAATCATCTCCTTTAAAACACGGACATTTCTCTGTGTAGGGGTTGTTTTACAGTTTTCATGGTGTTATTACTATCTGATGATCTGGTGAAAATATAAGATTATTGTAATAGAAACTGAATGCTACGTATGGATTGTGTCACAGGTATTACAGTAATGTCCACAGATATATGGGAAGAGGGCACTTGTTAAAAATTCTTCATAGCCAATATTTCCCTAAAGGCCTATGTTATCAGTAGCCATTGGGTGTGTCAATGACAGTCCCCTGCTGCTACCAGCATAGTTCATCTGCTGTATTACCCAGTCTGTCACTTCAGCAGGTGTCTCTCCAAGATACACAGAGACTTTTCCAGAATCAGAAGTCAAATTTCAAATACAACACTCTTCCATTTATTACCTGTGTAGAATTTGCTTGAATTTCTGATAGCTTACCTATTCCATTATGTCACAATTGCATGTGTGTTATCTGTGTGTGCGCCCCCCCACCACCACCTTCAGAGTAGACTGGCATTCAATTTCCATATTTTATTCCCTAAACAAATGATGTTTGAGGGTGTGCCTTGAGCCAGAAGCTGTTGCTAGAAGAGCTAAGGTGTTTGGATAAAGCAGGACCTTTCTAGAAGGAGCTTGCTGTCTGACACTTGCAGCTCTCATCTTGCCCAGAAAATTGCCCAGAGGTCAGGCCCTCCCTGAGAGTTTCTGGGTCTTCCTTGGGGATGAGGTAGGTACCATCATGTCCAAGTCCCCAGCTGGTTCAGCTGCTGTGCTCTTTGGGAAATGCAGGTTTAAGGAGGCAAAACAAAGTGAGAGGACCTCCCCTGACTGAGATCTAGCAGAGACTGTTTATACTGTTATACTGAGGTCTGAGTAGAGGGAGGGCTAAAGAGAGTTAAGGAATCAGGATCAAGAGATATCTGATGCAGGAAGCTTCGGAATCCAGTGGCCAGTGAGTTAGAACAAGCAAAGTGTTCTACGCCAGCCAAGTACAGGACACATGAAAGTATCTCTCTCTCTCTCTCTCTCTCTCTCTCTCTCTCTGTGTGTGTGTGTGTGTGTGTGTACACATATTTATTTTATGAGTATGGGTGTCCTGTCTACATGTATGGCTGTGCACAATATACAAGCCTGGTACCTGCAGAGGCCAGGAGAAGGCATCAGATTCTCTGGGAATGAAGTTGTGAGCAGCTGTTGGGTGCTGGGTATCAACCCTGGGTCCTCTGGAAGAGCAGGCAGTGCTCTAACTTCTGAGCTACCCCCCGAGACCTGAAAGGAAACTGAGAAGGAAAGCAGGAGAGGGCCAGAACCATGTATCATGATAAGGGTTGGAGGGTTTTCTCAAAGAGCTACAGATAGACATTTAAAGACATTAAGCAAAGCAGATTATATTATTAGACACGTTCTGTGCTCAGTGACATCATGTGAGTGACAGGTGGGTGTTATTCAGAACAGCCAGGCAGTTGCTTAGTGTATTTATTTAGAATCAAGAAGAATCAGCAACCAGTCATGAGAGCAAAGCCAGTTATAGTGGCCGGAAGGCTATGTGAGGAAAAAGCTCCAAGGTGGATCTCCTGCTTGCTCACATCGATGGCCCTGTGGACCACACATCACCTTTTAGCAGCACTCTCACAGGCCTGCCTGGTGAGCCTGGATGACCTACCGGTAGCAGGTGGA